TCCATAAGAGATAACAAAAAGTGGTCAACTGATAAAATGTTGGTAATAGTAACGAAAATTTGCCGAATTTTGTTATGAAATTCTGTGGAAAAACTGGCTAATTGTAGGGCCCTCCAGAGGTTTCTTAGAACTATACAAAAGACGACCCTTCTAATATATATTTTTAGGTTCTTAACACGTCTCGATTTACCCAATAAGATTTCATTCTGACCACTTCAGGATGTTACAACCGCGAAAATTTTTTATGTGACCAAAATACGGTATTTCAGCTGAATATAAAAATCTTTTCTCAGAAACAGAAGCCGATTTTTTACTCTTTTCATTTTTGAATATTTTCCCTTACAGTAATCCTTTTGATTTTCGAATATTTCCCCCCTTTATTGTCGGATCAAAAAGAGTGACACCTGGAAATCTCGGAGACGGCGCTCGTGTCGATTTACGAGGGGTCGAGCGAAAACGGATACTGTAGATAACAAATTTATCTATTGTCTATTCAAAATAATAGCGCGGATGAACGAGTAAAAAAAACGTGTAGAGAGTATCAAAACCTGTAGAGGCGCTGTAGAGACGCAGACATTTTCACTCGTTCACTCGCGCGATTATTTTGAATAGACAATATGTGAATTTAGTGTGATTTTCTGAACGAAATTTTAATTTCTTGGTATAAAAATGATCGCTAGCATCTCTAGAATCCATTTTCAGCAAAAAACTAAACTTAATTGCGAAAGTAGCTCGAACGAGCCGAAGGTCTGAAATATTACGTTTCTGCCGCGCTTTTTCGTAGATCAAAAAAAGCAAAAGTTTTCAAATTCTCAGGTGTCACTTTTTTAATTCGACAGTAGCACCTTGGGGATAACTGATGGATTGTGGTCAAACTTATCGGAGACAAAGAACAAGACAGTGGTTTGTAGAGGTGGGACGTGGTCGGGAAGAACAGTATCAGGTTACTCCGTTTCGAAGTAACCTATTTACGTGACAATGTTGATGATTAGAGCATGTAGATGATGTTTGGAAACTTGAAACGTCTTGAAGTGCGGTATCAGTTATCCAACGGTTTTACTGATTATACACTGTCAAATAGGAGCTCAATTATCTCAATGCCTATGCGAGATATTGAAAACGAGTCAACTGACAGAATACTTCTGATATTATGATAAACAATTT